AGCTCCGTCTTGTCCTTTATCGCCCTTAGGCCCACGAGGTCCCTCCAACCCAGGACTCCCAGCCGGACCTTTGGGACCGGGAGGGCCTGAAGCCGGCTTGTTGGTACCAGGTTTTCCCGGCATCCCTATAAAATAAGAATTTTTTGTCACATTTCTCATCAGGAAACCGAAAATAAAGTTCATCGTGGAAGAAGAACAAAAAAAAAAAAAAAAAAAAAACTCTTGAAACTCCAGGCTAAGCAATAAGAAGTAGTGGGAAATATAAACGTTTCCAGACCTAGGAAATTAATGATTTTCTGTGAAGTGCATGCCGTCATCAGGAAGAACGAAGGTATAGAAAACCATACGTTGTTTTACAAGTAAGGGTCTGATTGCTGAGAATTGCTCCTAATTCTAACAGTGGAGAAATGACGCGTTTTGACCTGACAGCTGAGATCTAAGATCAACCAAGAGAAGCTAGAGCAAGCCAAGACAGTACGTTAGTCCTCCCAGTATGCCATATACCCAAGGTAATCCCTCTTAAGTAATTATTTTAAGACCTTGATCTTCTCTTGAATCAACTGAATTTACTGACAGCTGAGAAATGGTCTGAAACTTTCACTGATAGCTTAGAAATAGAATAGAAATGCCAANCCTACCAGCAATGCCCGGTTTTCCGGGGGGGCCCGGGGGTCCTTCTCTTCCTTCTCTGCCATCCCTTCCATCCCGTCCTACAACAAAAGACGTTTGATCAATAAGAGTATGCTAACAGAACAGGAAAAAACATGGCTTACTGCTAATTTATCATTCATTTTTACCAACCTCGGAGGAGGGAAAGAAACCACCAATCTTTTGCCTTGTCTGACGGCATTGCAGATATTTTGGTTTCGTTCATTCTGTGAAGAGAAAGCATTTCGGTTACACGGGTTATTTTTCCTTAATTTGACTGCGAGTTAAAACCCCATCTGCTAATAGTTTCAACTCCGACTTGAGATGCCGGTAGCCTTTTTTCAGAGCTTGCGGTGAGCTCGGAGATGTAATCAACAGATTTTTGCAATCTTCTAGCGTTTTATAGCGTTTTTTAGCCAAGATTCAGAAAACCGCAAACAGTACTACTCTTAATTATGCAATAAGTTACCAAGAATTTTGCTAACCTTTTCTCTAAAGCCTGAAGTCGCTTTTCAAAGTCCGATTGCTTTTGGCTTGCATTGCTCGATACCGATCTCTTCTTTCTGGGACTCAATTCAACTGATGAAGCATCAGACATTTGAGGATCTTGATCAGTACTTCGTTTCAAATCTTCCAAAGTATTCTCGAAAGTAGAGAGGCGTCGATTCATCCCACGGACCTCGCCTACAAGTAAAACGACAGCGCTGATCACAGACACTCCCACAAGGACCAGAATGACAAGGGATGCCGAGCGCAAGTTTGGAAGACATTTGTTCTTGACTTCATCTTTACGTTTGAAGTCCATTTTAAGAATTCGCAGCTCTCTGTCGGAGAAACAACTCTTGAAGCCGATAAGCGAGAACTGAACTTTGATAGCTTTGATTACAAGCATTATTTGTTTAAAGGCATGCTATTGGTCGGAAACATTAAATAAAATCCAGGTCATAATAATTATAGCTCGCGTAAATTTTCGCGTTCGCTAATTCAACGCTTCCCAGTCACTTTCATAAAACATCGACTAATACTTAATTTCAACCCAAGAACACGAAACAAGTTAAATTTAGGAAGGCTTTTTAGGGGGCATCCAAGA